CTATCCTCTCTGGGAATTAAGGGAGCTTTCTTTTGAGTGTGTATCCCAGGCCATACCTGCCTAAAGTGCTTTTGGGAAGACAGAGATGGACTTTTGGATGCCTTCAAACCAACTCTGATAGTCTTGGGGACACAGCAGAGAAAAAGACACATTTTGCCTCAAAAACAATTAACTTTTTTCCTAGTTTGTACCATGTATAACCCTTAAGTACTAAAAGCCTTCAAGTTTCTATGAAAGGAACTTTTTGAATGACTGATCTAGACTTGGATAGTCATCATCTGCATTTAACAGGTGGGATTTCCACCTCTTTGTAAAACACAGCTCCTTCTTTATTAGGAGTTGGACTTGATGATCCTTGTGGGTCCTTTCTAACTCAGGATATTCCATATGAGAATTGAACACTAAATGTGACTGTGCAATGTGGGAGGGTAAGACACAGTATGCTCGAGTTTGGAACCCTTACAAACAGCAACGCAGACATTGCTTACTCCTGACACATCTCTATAATCAGAGTACTTTGCTTTGACAATTTACTGCAGATTAGTCAAACGACTCCCTGTTTTCCCATTACAAAATCCATACCGTTTGTTCAAGTGAACATGCTCTTGAGCTTTCAAGACCTATTTGTTTCCTGAATTGTCTTGCTTTGGCAGCAAACTTATTCAGAGTGGTTTTATACACCACGTTGTTGAATGAGGAGCTGAATGGTCGGCAATCATTCGGCTGCAATCAGGGGTATTAAGGAGGGTAAGTTCTATCAATTCTTTTTCTCATGGAGATGCAGCCCTGCCATTGTGGAAGATGATCAAGGGAGAAATGCAAAGCTGAGTTGTGTACCTCAGCAACGAGAAGGACGTACAAAAGATGACAAGGTCAATCATTTCGTCATCACTGAATGTCCCAGTGTCATCCAACATCACCCAACGTGGTGCTATATGGAGGTGGGTGGGTAGGAGGGGACAGGCTGCCACTCATCCATTGAGTTAAACTTCCTCTCCCTGATGCCAACATCTTTTTCTTACAGAAATGTCTGACTAAGCAGCTGAAAATGGTCACATATTTTGCAAAACTTCCATCTTGATGAAAACAGCCTTTAAAATTTTAACCAGATGGCTCCACAGTGTTTTGTGGATTAAGAGGCTCAGTTAAACTGCGGACTTAATGAAAATCATGTACAGGAACAGGTGCCAAGGCACAGGAACAACTACAAAGTGATTTTTCCTTGTCAACCTTACTGGATTGATGAAGCAACACACACTAAACTGAGCCTGAGCTCTCAAAATGTTTCCTTCCACCTGGGTGGGTGTGAGGTTCCTATGAACACCTGCTTCTCAGAGGTACAACCTCTGGGCCTGCCACACCCACTTTGAGGATCACCTGCATCCTTGTTTAGTTTTGAATTTTGGTATATTTGGTATTCATAAATCCTCATCAGCAGCTGGGCCTGGAGGAAAGCAAAGGTCACGGTGTAGCAGGACAATGTGCAAGTCTATAATACAAGGTAGGCTCGAGCCTATAACACAAAGTACATGGCCTAGACTTGAGCTCTGGTCCATCTCTCTGCAAACCATCTCTGTTTTACTCAGCACTCTCAGCTCCACCAGCAAACAACCTCAGTCTGCTCATAGTCCAAGTCTGTTTGAGCCCTGTTGGATGTTCAGGGACTTCTGCACCGCCCTCACCAGAGTATTTGTGCCTTCACAAGCAGTTCCTATTCCGAGGAAGGTCTGTCTCCAATAATTGTAGACTCCTAAACAAAAGCAGGTAAAACCAAGACAGCACCACTCCTGGGATTGCTGACAACTCATGATAAAGAAATATTTGCTTAATTTTTTAGAGCTGCTGTTCAAACTTGTTATTCCTACACACTTGGAAGGACGTGGACTTGGCTCAACCATCATGTTTCTACTTACAAATTTTGGTGCTGTTTTCTTTAACCCAGAAGAGATTATTGGAAAAACCCCACATCCTACAGTGTTTCTTGGGTTGCCTGAGAGCTGATCTGAAAAGTTCAAAGAAGGGTCAAAACCAGCTTAAACGCTAGTTTGGTAGACCGAGTCTTGCAACTGGTTTGCAATAAGAAGAAGGTAAAGATGGAGCGATACAGATTTAAAGGTTTAGAGCAAGGAAATGGATCATCTCAGGATGTTGTTTTTCATCCCTGGATGGAAATATTGTTGGTAACTGCATCAAATTGTCCATGTTGCATAGATACTCTAAATGCAGCTGGCATGGAATGGAGATTTCCATGTGGTGCGAAATTCAGACAGGGAAAAGACAAAAAAAGCAGAAGTGTTGCCTGCAATGAGATGGGTAGCTTGGAAAGAAGCCAATTTTTTTTTTCCACTCAAAACTCAACAGGCCTTTATTTGAATTTCTTTAAAACTGACATATTCAGGGAGATTTCAAATAGGCTTTTTCTGACAAGTCCCCTAATCCCCCAAGCCTTCCCTCCCTCAACAACCCAAGTTTGTCAGCTCCTTCCCAGCCAGCTGTAGCTGGAGGCTCTTTTATATTCCACGCAGAGTTGGGACCCTCCCTGAAGTTACAGATACCCAGTTCTATATACATTGTAAATCTCTGCACATGACCACATATCTCATCGAGATGGATATATGCATATTTATTCCTGTACGAATTACTGTAGTCAGCCAATTCTGGCTGATAAAACGCTCACATAAAACATTCCCTTCTGTGATAAATAAAAACAAGGACTGCTCTCTTCCTGCTGCTGAATCACATTCTGGAATCTCCTGCTTCTCCTCTCTCAATCAGAACTGGAAGGTGTCTCTATCTAGTGGAAGGTGTCCCTGCCTGTGGAGGGGGGTGGAACAAGATGGGCTTTAAGGTTGCTTCCAACCAAACCATTCTGGGATTTTATGTGCTAGTTTAGATGGGATATTGGGAAGGAATTGTTCCCTGTGAGGGTGGTAAGGCCCTGGCACAGGTTGCCCAGAGAAGCTGTGGCTGCCCTGTCCCTGGAAGTGTCCAAGGCCAGGTTGGACAGGGCTTGGAGCAACCTGGTCTAGTGGAAGATGTCCCTGCTCATGACAGGGGGTGGAATGAGATGAAATTTAAGGTCTCTCCAACCCAAACTATTGTAGGATTCTATGATTCTATCATTTCATGATTCTATGGTTCTATGAACATGGCCCTCTAGGGACAGTCTTCCAGAGCTCCTGTGCTATGTCTTGCAGTGTTGCAGGCTACAAGATTTTCCTTCCCTTGTGGAACTGTTGCAGGATCATGGACAGAGCACAGGAACATATGACTCTGGGCCACCCACATCAGCCTCCACGGATTTACTGTGTCATGAGCTAAATGTGCAAACATCCAACTTCCCAGTGTAGTTTGGGAGCACAGGCCTAAATCATGGCTGTGGATGAAGAACAAATTTAACTATATGGATCTCTGCCCCCAGCCTGCCTTCAGAGCAGATGTTTCCAGCCCATCTGAGGGAGTCCATGCCATGCCAGGCTTCCCCCATGGCCTGAATAGAATCGAGTACCACGACCTCACTGAGATGGGGAGATGTCTTGAGGGTGTGGACTGAGGAGGTAATGTTTCATATCTATAGTAACAATTAATAAACTGATGTCACACCTATAAAGAAAGAGGGAATGGCATGAAGTTGTGTCAGGGGAGGTTTAGGCTGGATGTCAGGAAAAGGTTCTTCCCTCAGAGAGTGGTTGGGCACTGAACAGGCTCCCCAGGGCAGTGGTCACAGCACCAAGGTTGACAGAGCTTAAGAGTGTTTGACAATACTCTCAGGGACAGGGTGGGATTGTTGGGGTGTCCTGTGCAGGACCAGGAATTGGACTCATGATCCTTGTGGGTCCCTTCCAACTCAGGATATTCTATGATTCTGTGATATCAATGTTTTAAAAATCCATTAAATGTGTGAAGTGAGTGCTGTGCTGAAAAGAGACTCCTCTGTGCCCCCAGTGTGTGCTGGTTTCCATGCTGGGGCTCCTACACTGAGTGCACTTATATATGCAAATGCTGATCCTATTTACAATAACATAAATGAATTTGCACAATGACAAACAACTAACACCAAGGACACTGATCCGTTGGAGCTGAGAACTTCCACAGAGGGGTGAGCATCAATCAGAGATGTGGAGGAACATCGGGCTCAGGAGATGTGGCTCATCCCTCAGCATTGGAAACGCTTAGACAGGAGAAAGGTTCAAGACTGAAGCAGCAACAGTAAGCTGAGCATCTCCCCACCTTCCACATCCTGCACCCTTCTCTCAGACTACAGAAGCCATTTCACACCTGTCCCTGGCATTTCCCTGGCACTGCTCTCCTGGAATTTCCCAAAAGCACTTGGTTAAAATGTGACATTTCAGCAAACTGGTCAATGTGTTATATTCTAAAATATTCACCAGCTTCTCCTCCTAAGTGGGCTTCTCATATTTGCGGGAAAACTCATTAACATTGAAATCCCCCATGACAGAAGGCTTGTAGGCAATACACTATCAGGAAAAAAACATTCTTGTATTTTACATTCTGGTTTAGAGAGTAGGAATCAATGGACTAAAAATGACCTAGTTCTAATCCCATTTTTCAGCTGATAGAAAGTAGCTCTTTTGATATTAAATAATGCATCTCTTCAGCAAGCAGTGAATAATATGATTTACTGTGTTCAAACAGGCTGGTGAAATGATGCAGTCTCTAACCACTGCAGAATGTCACTGAGCACACCCTGCGAGCTGTTTGAGACGCGCATTCTGCTCAAACAGAAACATTTACCTAATTCCATAGATTCTGCTTTGAGGATGGAGCTTTCACAGAGTGATTTAAAAACATCGAGTTCACCTGTTTGTAACAGCAGATGTATGTAATGCTTTAAAGACAGCTATTTCCCAGAGCACAGGCAGTGTATAATTCCCAGTGTTCTTGGTTTAAGCGCCGTGTTCCCACAGGAACACGTTACCACGGAATTCACTGGGCAGGTGCACTGAGCTGGGGGAATACAAAACAATTTCTTTCTGGCAGAGAGAACTATGCTGGAATTTCACACCTGCTTGGAGTTCGGAAATGCAACAGCAGTGCCCATGAATGTAAAGCTTTCATCTAATTAACAAGTAAGTTTAATATATTGGTATTTTTTCTTTAGAGACTGTTCTCCTGTTTGGTACCAAACTACTTGGTAACTCTATATCTGCTTTTATATTTGTTATATTTGACAAAAAAAGCTCTGGTGTGGTTCCCCTGGGTGCTGGAGGGTGATTCAGCCATCAGCTGCATACATGGGGACACGGGGCAGCCTGGGAGACTCTGCCTCCCTTCCCAGGGTGGGGTCATTTGAGAGGCAGTGAAGTGGCCACCAAGCATCAAAAGCTCTTTGAACAAACAGACATCTGTTCCTAACATGATTTAGAAGTTAAATTTGCAATGGTCCAGGATCTGTTACCCTAAATCTGGATCATCTATTCATACTTGTTTAGTGTTTTGGAAGGAATTCCACAAACTGGGAAAGAAAGAACAGTTTGAGTGTTGGCTGCTGAAGCACGGATGGGCTGTGACTCACAGCTGGTCACCCTCTCCTGCCTCAGGGCTTGTCCCCAGTCCAGGGTTTGCTGCACCAATGGCTCTCCTGTCCACGTGCAAAAATCTCTATTTGAAGGTACAAAGACAAAATTAATGGCAAGAATGAACACCACAAATTCCGAGATTCAGAGTCCAGCCCTGTAGATTTTCCGTGTGCAAATCATTTATTGATTAAAATGGGATTTGCAACTGCACAAGAAGAGAAAAAAAAGTGGGTCTGAAAGCTTCCCATGAGACAAATAGAGCCTGCTTGAAATTAGGTGTGATTTGGTATTCTGGCCTATTAAATATATTAGATATGCAGAAAGGCAGATCAGGGACAAGCCACTGAAGTTCAAGGAGTTGTCCAACCTGCCCGAGTGCTCATTTAAACACACGCTTTTGTTCCTGAGAAAATTAAATAACTTAAGGTCCTTCTCTCTCCAACTCCAATTTTTATAATAGTGCCTCATCAGATGTGAAATCATTAATTAAAGAAGATTCCTCAATTTTTCTCTCTGACCTGTCACAGTTACTTGTTTAGTCAGCATTAAGAATTCTGCAGCATCTTCAAAGGCTTTTCAAGACACCACCTGTGAACTAATTACACTGAAGGAGGTGAGGTTTGTAAGTATCTCCACCTCCTAGTGCTGCCTGACAAAATAGATACCAACCCTGGCCTTATTTTTTTTAACTTTTTGCAGCTAATTCTACATGTTTTAAGCATTGCTACTTCAAATTAGGAAAGTAAATCCCCAAATGTAAAAAAAAGGGCTCCAGCAGAGAAATGCACAAGTGTATCACCAGGCCCTAAAACACTGGGTGGGTTTGCAAATTATGTCTGAGATGGTTTGTCTCCTATTTGGAACTGTGAGGGATCCTTAAAGACCTTCAGGATTCCTACAGATTCCTCGGTTCCTACAAAAAGTAGCTTCCTAGTTTGGGCTTTGAGAAAGATCCTGGAAAATTCAACAAGTGATGTTGAACAGCCTGTCAGTCGTTTACTTTGATTTCTGGGAGATCCTTGACCTGCAACTCTCCCTTCTCTACCTGCAGTTAAATGTTGACTCAGTTTGGGGTGTTTTCAAAACCTTTGGCTCCATGTTGAAACCCTACAAAGGATCTGTGTCCTTCCAGCAGCAAAACCTTCTCCAGGAAAAACATCCAGTGGAGCTGCACTGAAGTGGTAAAGGATGGTGGTAATTAACCAATTAGCTGCAAAGCCTTGATTAAGCAGGAGGGAGGCTGATGCTCTGTGTTCGGACTAATGCAAGACACAAGACAAAAACGATTTACTACAGATTATCCATGTTTTGTGTTCCTGCAGGAGGGAAGCAGGACAGACAGACAGTGATCCAACAAGCTCTGTGGCTAAAACCTCCTGGGATGACTTAAACAAAGCCAGAAATTTTGTCCCTGCCCATGGCAGGGGTTGGAACAAGATGATCTTTAAGGTCCCTTTCAACACAAACCAGTCTAGGACTCTAGGATAAATCTTGTTTTACTGTCATATTTTACTGTTGAAAGGAGCTACAGATGAATAACTGGGGTTTTCTGCCCCCATTTCCCACCCCAGCCTCCTGCCTGATGCTGCAGCACACGAGGGACTCTGTTTCTGACACTCTGGAAACTTCTGAATTGCTTCTGCAGCTGTAGAAGTTGGTAGCAATAGTGATGGTATTACCCAGCTATTTACCAGCTAAAAGCCAAGTAGAGGGACTATGACAGTGTTATTTAATTATGTAATGCCAATGGAACAGTTCAGTGGCAATGTCACTACTGATACCAGGGCTAAGTTCCAGGAAGAAGGACTCAATCCTAAATTTTCAACCATTTGGAGAACTTCCTTTGAAAAATCCCACCCCTTCTGTTGTCTTTCAGTGGAACAGATGTCTTTCAACTGCAAACTGATCTCAGAGTCCTTCCCTCGGTCATTTAAAGTTGGACTAGCTCGTGTGGCTTCAGAACTATTACAACTCTAACAGCTTCTAAATTTTCCCTCTGTTGCATTCAAACGTTTTCATATTTTCAATTTTATATTGTATTTGGCAAAAGATCTCTGTATTTAGGACTGTGATCTCAGAATTAAGACAGGGATCATTATAAAAGGATGTTATTCGTTTCCATTCCCCCATCTCCACCCTGCTCCAAAAAATACATATGATTTTGCTCATTCATCAAAAATTTCTACAGCAGCAAGAATTCAAACACATCTCAAAACTGTGTTACTTGAACATCATTTTTTTAAAGTGAGAAAAGCTGTACTCTTTGTTGTATTGTTTACTTATGGAAATTAAACCCCAAAATGTTACTAGAGACCATTCCAACCACAGACATACAGCAGAAACCATCACTCTCTGAACAAAGCTTGGAATAAGATCAGGCTAAGGGGACTTTTTAAGGAATTACAAACCCCAGTGTTAACACACAGACTGAGGTCTCCTATCACCACTTTGCACGATCGACATATCAATGACTCTTTTCTTCTTCTCAGCTCCTGTTAACTCTAAAAATAATTCCTTAGCTTATTTTCAACTGCTTGGGAGTCCAAAGTAAACCATGGAAAATCACAAGGAAAGAGGCTTTTATTGCAAGCACTATCAGCTTTTTGCAGTGAAGCCCATCCCTCCCCTCCTGCTGTTGGGTTAGCAATGGGGGTGGTCCTACATTGCTCAGGGTTCTACTGCTGTTTGTGGTCAGTCACAGGAGATTCCCTGCACATAAAGGACACGGCGCTTGAGGGAGCTCAGGGCTGTTCAGGGCACAGGAGAAGGCAGAGAGGCAACACCTCTGTGCCCTGAGTTTCCCCTCAGAGGACACCAGGGATTGCCCTTCCTAAGCCTTTAATTAAAAGCTCCAAAGATTTATTCACTTGTCTTGCTACTCCTGTAAGTCTGAAGCTGTTGGAACCTCCTGCTGCCTGCAACTCTTGGTTTAATCTACATATTTTAACTGGTGAGTGGATCACAGTTGTTGTGGCTTTCTGGTGCAGTCTTTCCAATAATTTTATCTCAATTTGGAAATAAAATTACACTTTAGGTGAAGGTTTTACCAGAAGAAAATTCTCCTCGTGTTTGTCTCCCAGATAATCCTGGTCTTGCTTCCCAGATTCCTACTTGGAGACCTGAGCATTGCACATCTTACTACATCAGGCACATGGAAATAATATCAACCTGCTGGGTCTGACACTGTAACTGCACCACGGGGAAGCTGTTTAACATGGATCAACCGGAGCTGGACCATGGTATGTAACACTCCTGCCTGCCCCTTACAGACCCTTTGAGAAGCATGTCGGAATCTTGTTACAGGCTGACCTGATCTGAAAACATCTTTTACCCAGCTCTAGGCTGGGCAGCTCCTGTTCAACAGGCTGTTCTTGGCTGATTGATTCCAGAAGAGACCACAAAGATGCTCCCAGGGCTGGAGCCCCTCTGCTCTGGAGACAGACTGGGAGAGCTGGAGGTGTTCACCTAGAGAAGGCTCCAGGGAGAGCTTGGAGCCTGTTCCCGTGCCTAAAGGGGCTCCAAGGGAGCTGGAGAGAGACTTTGTATAAGGGCCTGGAAAGACAGGACAAGGGAGAATGGCTTCCCACTGCCAGAGGGCAGGGTTAGATGGGATACTGGGAAGAAGTTGTTCCCTGTGAGGGTGGTGAGGCCCTGGCACAGGTTGCCCAGAGAAGCTGTGGCTGCCCCATCCCTGGAAGTGTCCAAGGCCAGGTTGGATGGGGCTTGGAGCAACCTGGGATAGTGGAAGGTGTCCCTGCCCATGGCAGGGGGTGGGACTGGATGGGCTTTGAGGTCCCTCCCAGTCCAAACCAGTCTGTGATTCTGTGAAGAGCTCCACTGAGGGTGTCCTGCTGGGGAGCAGCAACAGGAAATCCCCAACGACACTGGGATGTACTATGAACAGTCAAAACTTCTCACCACCTGCCAAGCACAAGGGCAGATTTTTCGGCTCTCCATGAACACCTTCTGGCACTGTAAATGGGAAGGAGCTCACAACAGGCCACGGATCCATCCTACAAGTCACTCAGTGATGAGACAGCAAGAAATTTGTCAGCCTCAACCCAACATTCATGTTTACAGCAACACCAGGGGAGAGTCAGGAAGAGCCAGATCATCACAAGAGCACAGATTTGCCCGCGCGGCGTTAGCCAGGAGAGACCGAATGGCAGGAACAGAGATGCGGGAGGGATCTGCTCAGAACGGGAGAGAAGAGGACAAGAAATGAAGCCTGGAGGGAAGACACACCAATGACAGCACAAAGACAGAAGGAGACAGTCCAGCACTACCACAACAAGCTGCCCGTAACCAGCTCCGGTCACTGACATGGCAATGCATTGGGATGAGTCCCTCAGGAGTACCCAACATCCTGTGGGAATGTGTGTGGATACTGACCTGGGCTTGAGACAGCACTAGAGGTAGTAGGCTCAATAATTTCTACAAAAAGGGAAAAGGAAAAAAAAAAAAGAGAACATTTGGGAGTTAATCACACATGGAAGACAAATACAGAATGAGACAGCAAACAATCATGCAACAGACAGCACAGTTTCATTTCCAGGTTGGGCTGGGCACCACTGGCCCCTGACAAACCTGCAGGCGACCAGACTCCTGTGCCTATGAACTACAGCAGGGCTGCTCTTTGCCCAGCTACCTTGTGTGAACAGCATCAGGACCATCACACTCCCAATATGCAAATATTTTTGCCCTTGGAGTTCTCGAGCTCCAAACCATTTCTCCTGGGAGGTCCTAAAACCTGGCTGGAAAAAACGGTTTGCTCACTTCATCAAAGGTAATTTCCTCCCATGAATATAAGTCAAGGTAACAATTTTGAACAAAGAATGTTTTAAAGCAATAGTTTTGTGCTTCAGTGAACTTTTAAGAAGGCACATCTTTTTAATTACTGAAGTCTTTCCAGAAGAAAACATTTCTCAGAAACATCAAACCCATTTGGAAGTTGTTTACTTCCCCCGGGGCAACGAATGCAAACAACAGGCAAAGTTAAGAGAAGACACAGTTCTCCTGCATCCAGCCTAATGAAACAATCACCTGTGGCTTTTCATTATAATTTGACTTCAGAATTCATTATTCTGGGCCTTTTCATTAGCTTTGAATAGTGCTATGCAAAATGAAATACCAGTCCCAATTAATCTTGCACGGAAGCAAACTCCCATTTCAATGCAGCAATTCAATACTCTTCATAAAAAAGGTTTAACAAAATTACCAAGCTCAAAAGATCATTGACCATATCTTGGCTATAACAAGAAACTAATGAAAAAAAATGTGAGCAAGTTAACTACAGGGCTGTGCAGGGAATAGCTGAGCACACACGCCGCTCTTGGCCAAATTTGAGGGGTTTTTTCCCCTTACAATTACTTTTCAGGTTAATATGATGCAAAAATGAGTCCAATGAAATAACAGACAAATATTTTCCCAAATAAAAAGTTGTGACTATGGCTTTTTATAAAGGCAAAAGTTCCTCTTGTTGCAGAAAAACACCATTCTTTCCAACAATCAAGTAAATTAACATACTCACTAAGTACAGTATTTCATTAAAAAGCAAAATACCATTCCCAAACCAGCAGGGATTGTACTACGATAGTGCCTCTTTGGATCTAGACTTAATTATAGGTGCTTAAGGTGGCATAAAGTCACATATTCATGGCATCATTGAGGCTGGAAGTGAAGGTGGTAATATCCATGTATTATTCTTGCAAAAAATCTCATTTTTAAATACATTATTAGATCAAGGAATTGGTGAGACAGATCTATTTCTAGTTTCAAATTCTAAAACTCTTTGCAAATCTTTATTCATGAAAATGTTCAGGTCTGTAGAGAGAAAACAAAACCAGCTGGTTTTCTATAAGCACGCTTGGCTGGTTCATTAAAATGAAAATATATTAATGACTTCTAAGCAACACTGGGAGACAGGGATGTGTGGGGAAGAGTGGGACTGGCGGTACTTCATTTTCCTGGGACCCCAGTCCTACAGTATCAGCACTGCTCAGATTTCCAGGGGTGCTTGTGGAAAAAAATCTGCAAGTATAATGAAAAACCACGATATTCTGTGCCACTTTTGTGACTCCAGTGGAGAATTCTCCTTGAGCTGAACTTTTGGGATTTGTTTTATAAAGCAGAGGAACAGCAACGTGTTCA